GGAAAAACCCTAGTCAACTCGCCGAGTTGATAGGACAACTCATCGAGTTCGCATAGTGTCCAGAGGATCGGGGAAACTCGAGTCAACTTGCCGAGTTGGCAGGGCAACTCGTCGAGTTTTCCTAGTCTTAACACATTCATCCACTTTTCCAGCGAGTCCCAAAGCCCCAAACTATAGATCTGATCCTCTAGGGCAAAGATACCACGTAAAGTTGCTAACTTTACGTCCATGCATGGAATTAAGGGGGCTAAAACACTCAAACATAGCTTATTAAGGGATTTTAGGGCATGAAGGAGGGCCAAGAGTTAATAAAGATGGCAACTTTAAGTCCATGGAGGCCCTAAGATGTCCATATCTGAAGTCATAGCTTCAAGACATGCTCAAATCCAAGAATGACCCAAGAACAAGCTAAAAATGACATTAAACCCTCTAATGGGGAGATCTAGCAAATGAATGATCAAGGTATCGACTTTATACCTCAATGTAGCTGCAACACTGGAGGAATTCCCGGATCTACTACCTTCCATTCAATCAAACCTCTTCAAGCTTCAAGTTCCTTCCAAAAGAGCACCAAATATTACTCTCCAAGCTCACACACACAAACACACACACACACACAAAATGAGAGAACAAGCACGAACTAGGGTTTCTCTGGACAAAGGGGGAGATAAGAGAGGCTAAAAATGAGGTTTAAGGCCTTTAAATAGGGTGAAAACCCTAAAAATTTAGGGTTTCATGTTCAACCTTCAACTCGTCGACTTGGGGCCTTCCAACTCGTCAAGTAGACCCTAAAAGATATGCGGCTGGAAAGCTCTCTACACGACGAGTTGGAGTCTCCCAAATCGTCGAGTTCCATCCTAAAAACTTGAAAATTGATATATTTATTTCATACCTAGACCAAGTGTTACAAAAGGTGTATCACCAAGTAGTACAAAATAACCACTAACTGATATGTGAGTAATTAGGTATGCAGCCAAATTGAAGTCACAATAAGCTTCATGTTTGAAAGTTGGTTGATTATTAAAAAATATACCTTGAGAATTTTTTGCTTTCAAATAGCGTAATACATGTAAGGTTGCATCAAACTAAGCTTGACTAGGTTTTTGATTTAACTGACTGAGATGTTGTAGAACATATGATAAATCTGGTCTTTTGTGTACAAGAATGTTCAATTTTCCGTTAAGTTGTTGATAAGAAGTGGGATTAATGAGAGGATCTGGCATAGATGTAGTTAAAGGAAGCTTTGATGGAAGAGGAGTGGAAACAGGAATGGCATCTTGCATGGAGTATAACTGAATTAATTCACGTATGAATTTATATTGATGTGCAACCATGCCTCCATTAACTGTATTGAACTCCATACCAAGAAAATGTCCAATATTACCCAGATCGTTGATTTTGAACATATAATCCAAATAAGCCTTTAAGTTTGAAATTTCATCTTGATCGTTTCCTATTACCAGAATATCATCGACATACACAACCATAATGACAATTATTGAGTGTGTTTGTTTGAGGAATATAAAGTAGTCATTAGTTCTATGATGGTAACCACGAACATGGAAAGCAATGGGGAGTTTAGAGTATTACTATCGAGAGGCTTGCTTTAAGCCATAGAGAGACTTGCAAATCTTGTACACATGTGATGGTGAATCAACATGAAAACTAGGAGGAAGCTTCATGTAAACTTCATCATGGAGATTTCAATGAAGAAAAGCATTGTTGACGTCAAATTGTAGAATTGGCCATCCTCTTTTAATGGCAATAGAAATGAGACATAAAACTATTGTAAACTTGTAAACTGGAGAAATATCTCATGATAATCAATCCCTTCCTTCTCTGTGAATCCTTTTTCTACTAATCGTGCTTTAAATCTTTTAATGCAACCATCAACACGACATTTGAGTTGGTCTACCCATCTGCATATAATGGGTTTCTTATGTTTTGGAAACTTAACAACATTCCAAGTATGATTTTATTGTAAGGCTTGGAACTCATGTGTCATCGTTTGTTCCCATTCTAGTTTACCTTAAGCTTGATGATTAAAATCGGGTTCAAAATGTGATGTTTTTAAATAAAAAGAATGACTAACTTTTGAGCATAAAGCATGTTTTAGTGTATATGGAGAATGATTGATACATAGATCAGTCAAGGTGTGAGAATAAGAAATGTCATCTATATAAGACTACACACACACACACATACACATATATATATATATATATATATATATATATATATATATATATATATATATATGATTGCATGCATAGTGTTGAATAAGTAGCGGGATGTCGAATTCTATTGCTTCGATGTGGCATTAAACTTGATTCACTTTGTTGAAAAGGAACTGATGGAGGGATGGGAGTATTTTGTGTGTCATCAGTAGAAAAAATGTCACGATAATTGGTTGGGATATATGAAGGTGTAGATGATGATGGTAAAGAATTGGAAAAGGAATGTAATGGGAATGGATCCTTAAAACATTTAATATCCCTTGTCTCAAAAACTTCTTGTTTGAGGAGATTAAGCACTTTATAGTCTTTATGCATGGATGAATGGCCAAGTAGAACACAAGGATCTTTACATTAAAAAAAAGTAGAACACAAGGAACATAATTTGGCATAAATTTGTCCCTACCAACTTTGGGAGTTGATACATAACAAAGGCAACCAAAGACTTTTATCTTGGACAAATCTAGTTGTTCATTGAATAACAATTGAAATGGAGTTTTATCTTTCAATAGCTTTGATGAATACGATTCATTAAATGAACTGGTTGCTTCACAAATTTTGTCCAATAAATCACTCCTAAACCAGATTCAAAATATAAGGCCCTTGCAATTCCAAAATATGTTTATGCTTCCTCTCAATAGTTCCATTTTGTTGAGGGGTATAAGGAAGAGATTTATGATCTAAAATACCATGAAGTTTGTAACTAGATTTCTCCAATGAACTCGAAAGTGCTATTGAAACCATCAGGAAGACCAATGAATTGAGGCTGATAGAGTTTAGAAATAGAAGAAATAAAGCTTTGTTAGAGAACATATGATCTGTAGCACCAATATCGATAATCCAAGAAAATCGTTCTTGCAAAATTGAGCAAGATTTACGAACATTTAATGCAAAATGAGTAAATGAAGCTTGTTTACCTTCATCATTCATTTCTCCATTGGCAACATATAGATTTGTGTCGGTGGATGCTTGACCAATATTGTGATTATTAAACAAATCCATGAGTTATTGATATTATTCAAGAGAAATTGAAGCATATGAAGTAGGAATTACTTCAACATTTTAAGAAATGGACTAGTTTCATCTCTCCTTATCTTGGTAAACTTGAAATTAGAGGGAAATCCAATTAATTGATAACATTGAGCCTTTGTGTGACTGTTTTCCGTACAAAGAGTACAAACAAGATGCTTCGTGGAAGTATTCTCAGAAGAAGCAAGCATTCTGATGGCCTCATTATTAATAATCGATGGATTAATAATTCCACGTTGTTGATCTTCTTGAAGGATATGAGAATAAGAAGTAGATACAGTTGGCAATGGCTTCATCATATGAATTTTTCCTCTAATGATCTTATACGAGTCATATAATTCCATTAAAAGTTGAATCAAACGTGGATCTTACAGGAATTTGTGAATTCCAGTTGCAGTGCCACAAGAACATGGAGGAAAATCTTGAATAACACGTAGCTCATCCGATAGTTTGGTCAATTTAGTGAAGTACAGTGAGAAATCGCCATTACCTTGATAAATTGAATATAGTTGTTGCTGAATTTGTTAGAGCATGGCTCCATTTGGTTGTTCATATCGTTGTTTCAATTCTAACCTAATTTCAAAAGCAGTTTATAGGAAGAGAACATTTTTAGCAATATTCTTCGAAAACGAGTTTAGAATCCAATTAATCACCACCGAGTTTGCTCGATATTAAGTAGGATAAGAAGGTGAAGTAAGAAGAGGCTTATGCATAGTTCCATCAGAACATCCTAACTTATTCTTAACAACTAATGAAATCATCATGGATCGTTTCCATGAATTGAATTCGATTCCATTTGAAACAGAGGTTACGGGAACAAAATTGGGATTATCTAAAGAACTAATGAAGAAAGTATTTGAAAAATTAACAACAAGAAGATCATTTGAATTAGATTCCATCATGATTGAACGAAGAAGAAATGAAATCAAATGGAAAAACGAATTAAATGATATGATTTTTCTCTGATATCATGTTGTAATCAAGAACACAGGTATAATATAGAGTGAGAGAATGAGAGAGAAATTAATTTCATTCCATCTTTTTAATCAATAGAACAAGGACAACTACATATATACATGACTGAATGAGTACATATAAGGTAGATCCTAACTACCATTATCTAACAAACCAACTTAAATAAAAACAGTTACATTACGAAAATACCCTCAGATAATTAGGTTAGTTAAACCAACAGGGTTCATGGAGGGGATTAAAGGCATGCAAGAAAAACATGTGGAAAGATTTTTTTAATTTTTCCTAGAGAAGAGTGCTTAAACTTTTAATCGATGTTAATATATAAAAGAGGGCTATAATAGTTAAGCAATAAAAATTATAATTTAAAATGATTATCAAATGTGTCTAAATGTTAAAAGATAATGGTAATATGATATTTTGAACGTTTATAGAAAATAAATATGATATTTAGAAATTAAGTTGAACAAATATGATATTTTGATTTTTAAGAATTATATATACGAAATTCTCCAATTAATAATAGATATGAAAAAATAACATCTTGACAGAAATTCTCCAATTAGTTGTAGATATGAAAAAAAAATAATAATAATAACATCTTGATGTTTCATTATAGAATATTAGAAAGTTAATTAGAAAAAAGAAAATTTAATGATTTAAAACCGTAAAACATTTACTACATTTCCAAAACTGATAATTAATTTAAAACAAAGTTTGTGTATATATAGATGAGTTTGTGAATTGTTGTCACCATCAACCAAGTGTCGAACGCCTATACACCACTACGCAATGGCAAGCCTCCCAAAATACATGTGTTTACTAATCTTCATTTTCCTTATGTGTAAAGGTATACTTATAATTAATCAAACTAACCTAGTTCAACTATATATATATATATATATATATATATATATATATATATATATATATATATATATATAAACTAATAGATTATGTGTAATTATACAGATTCTTTTGCTCAAGGAGAATACAACCTTACAATCCATCAAGAGGCATCAAGTGCACCACAGGAGTGGAACGTGGCAATTGAAAACACAACTCCTTGTGTCATTTTCGACGCAAAATTAGATTGTAAAGGGTTTCAATCTCGTACTGAAATTGACCCTAAAGTTATCTTAAAAGAAGATGACTTGTGTATCATCAATGGTGGCCAACAGATAAATCCTCAAGATAGCCTTCAATTTTGTTTATGCACGGGAAAATCAGTTTCCTTTTAAATTGGCTCATCAATCTATAGCATGTTCATGAAAAGAGAGTAATTGTAAAATGCAATACATAAATGAATGAATAAAAGATGAATGATTACTTGGTTTCAACACAAGTTTTGCTTAGTTGTCTGAAACGTTATATCATGAGTTTTTAGAATGCATCTAAAATGTGTAATGGGATGTACCATAAAAAAGGGATTTTGGCAGATATTTATTTTTGAGGTTGAAATCCAAAAAATAGACACACAAAATCGGATTTCCAGGTTTGGACATGGATTCCGAGGAGGTGAGCTCCGAGGGCTCCGCAGAATCCACTGTAGCTCCGCGGAATAGCAAAATCGTAATTAAATCAGGGGTATTTTTGAAAGAAAAAAAAATTGATGAACAGTTCTGCGGAAGTGCCTATGCGGAATTTATGCTTTATTTTCAAATCAGAGTATCCTTTTAAAGAAAAGTGTTGCGGAATTTTTTCCCAGAAAAACATGATAAATATGTTATCAAAGCATTTTCGAAGAAATGTATTTTATTCATTTTAAAACTTTGGGATGTCATCATCAATATAGAAACATAAGCATAAACAGACATTACATTCTTTTACACTAGTGATTTACATCTCCTTTAATCTCTCAGTGTAATGTAGCTTCGTATCGACACTTGTGATACAAATAATCTGAGTGGGTCAGGTTGGGAAACCTGGTGAGTACATAGGGTTTTCAACCCACAATAATAAAGTTATTATGTTTAATCATCAAACAATAAACTCAATTACCCATCCCCATTATCTTCTTTATTCCTAAGTATCTTCCCTAAGAATCATTTATTCCTCATTATTTATTCCTAAGGATTGTCCTAAGGAATAGGAACGAATTCCATCGTTGCCAGAGTTTATTCAACAGGCACTAAGTTCATAGTTGTCAGGGTTCATCCAAGGGGCGCTCAGTCCATAGCTGCCAGGGTTATCTCATTTATTGACAGTATTATTTTCGGGAGTCCACCCGCAATATTTTTCAATGGGTTTTTAGAGTACACCGGGTGATCGTCCCGTTCACAACACCTACAGGTTGCGAGTCTGCTAGTGTTCCATTGGACTGTCTAGAATCGTCCGTGGTCGTCATCCATACTCTGCTAGATGACGGGGCCAACGCTTGGGTAAAGGCTCCTCTCATTTTTCACCTATCACCCTCATCTCATGATCTTTATCACCTTTCGTCTCATCATCCAACTCATCTTTCATCTACCCGTCTTTAGCCATCATAATTATAGGTATAAAATACATATACAGTTTAAAACGATTAAAACATGTATCTTTTTGTTCATCCATCATAAATATTAAGTACACAGATAATATGCACACATAGCACGCAACTTAGAATAAAATACTTCATATATATGTGTAAGATGAAAGTAACTACGCACTCGCTTGTCAAAGTGATGATTCCAAACTCAGGCAGCGCTTCGCTTCTAACGATTCTATTTTCCTTCGACGAAACCTAGCATTATTATTGCTAAGTTTTAGTCTAATCTTTATTGCGATTAATTATTAGTCTAGATTCATCATTAACTCAAAGTCTACTTTCATGATCTATCAAGTAAGGAGCAACCAGGTAGGATCATATCGGAGGTAGGGTCCGTTTGGTATACGAAGTATACTGTTTGGAAATCCCACTTTAAACACCTCACTAAATCACAGCCTAGACATCATCCCCGTAAGTAGATAAATTAGTAAAATGACTTGGAATCACTGATAAATCTTGTTTATAGGTTCATAATAACGATAATGAACTTAAACATAAGTTATACTTAAAGTACGGTAAGCATAACTCAACTTACAGCGGGTTTAGCGAGGAACCGGGCTCTGCGAGGCAGAACTTCCAAGCCGAAAAGCTTTTTTTCTCGGAGCCTTCGGGCGCTCTGAGGCTTTCCTCTAGCACCTTAAGGTTACTAGGGCTTTAGAGGGGTTTTGGGAGGTTTAGAGAGAGTTTAGAGTGAGAAAGAAAGAGTGGAAGGTGTGAGAAATGAAGGCACCTTTGCAAGGTCTTTATAGGTTGAAATACTGCTCAACTCGTCGAGTTGGGGCCTCCAACTCGTCGAGTTGGTGCCACATGTCACCCTCTGGTGGCAAGGCTTGGGGAGAAAGCAATGGCCTAGATTCGGCCACGTCACCCTCTTCGCAGCAGCACCCTTCCGACTTCTAAACCCCTTAACTTTCGCATACGAGCTCCGTTTTCGACATTCTTTATATCCACGCGTAGGTATTGACAAGATATACAACTCTCATTTTGACTCCGTCAGCTAATTCTTGACCGATTTTAGATTTAATAGTATGAGAAGATTATATTGTTAAACGACCGTGTAAAATTCATAACTTTTACATACGGACTCCGTTTTCGTCTGTATTTTATCGTTGAACTCTTATTAATGAGATCTTCAATTCCCATTTAGGTTGCATCAGCCAAAATTTGATCGATCTAAAATTCGAATTACGGGTTGTGCAATGCTATGCTAAATCTTAGAAAAATCATAACTTACTCATACGAAGTCAGATTTGGACGTTCTTTTTATGCACGTTCTCGGTTTAATGTATACTACGACTTTCGTTTATATTGCTAAGGCTAAAAAGTAATTTATCCAAAAATTCACTTTTTACGTTACGCGGTGTCGTGTCGGTTTAGCCGTAAAACTTCGACGGGTCATAACTTCTTCGTTATAACTCGGATTTCAGCGTTCTTTATATGTACGGAACCCATGTGACATATACTATAACTTAGTTAAGATTATTTATTATAAATAATGTTCTATCAAAAAGTCATTTTTGACGCTTATTGTCTCTAAATTGACTAGCCCGAATCTGCGGGCGTTACAAAACGTATTGGCATTGGAAAGTTTGGTAGGAACTAAGTAACGAACAAACTCCATCTTCTCGGTAAAGTATGCAACATACTTGTTGACATTCAACCTTCTCTTCTTCAGGTTCTGGAATTCATTCTTGATCTCCAAAAGATCTTGTTCAGAGTAGTATTGCTTCTTCATCTCTTCCAGAAAGTTTTCCGAAGACATCTTTCCTTCTTCTTCCTTCGGCATGGAGTCAGCCATTAACTTCCACCAGCTTAACACTCCAGTCTTATGTTGTCTGACTACTAAGATGGTCTCCTGTCAGTTGCTGTAGTTGCAGCTTTCAAACACCATTTTAATCTCGGAGATCCAGTCTATAACTTCTATTGGTGTCGGGCTACCAGAAAGACGTGGTGCTTTGGTATCCATAAAGTCCTTTTACTTGCATTTATCTACTTTAATTACCACTTCTGTTTTATTCCTCCTAACCATGTGGGGTTCCATACGACTCACTTTCCTATTGTAATTTCCTTCCTCTGACTGTTCCTCTTCTAGCTTACGTTGCAAGACAGGTGCAATAGGCTCTCTTCCATTTTCTAGAAAGAGCAGTCTCATTTGTTCCCTTTGTTCAGCTAATAGAGCCCTAATCATCGCCATCATGACAAGTTCAGCTATCGACACTATTTCAGGTGCAAGTTCAATTACAAGGGGCTCAGGCTGTTGATTCCTGTTACTGTTTCCTTATCCGCTACGAGTTCTCACCATAACATTTTGTACACCAAAGCGACATTCAATGTAACAAGACGAGAATATAGATATGGAATATTTAGACACATAGTTCTCCTTATCACTCTGAAAAGTTAAATGCCAGTTCTAATACCGTAATTAAACATTTAGAAACCTGCACACATAAAATTTCCTATTTCTAGGTCGTCAACAGACCTTAAACCTAATAATATCAATTTAGATAGGCAACCTAAGGCATGCTATAATACAAACCATTTAGCATATAAAAGAAAATTATGCATTTTATCCTAAGGTAAGCTAGTGCTTATGTCAACTCAAGTGTATTACCTAAAATATAATAAACACACATCTCACGATCATCGCTTAGCATTCTAAGTTTAATTGTAGAAATCCTCTAAAATTCCTCGTTGACTTAAACTAATGCTCTGATACCAATTGTGACATCCCATTTTTACGGCAATTTTAAAACTTTTTATATATGCTTATTTAAAACAAAGTTTATTTCTAAATGCGGAATTCGGTCCTGTAAAAGTATTTCTAAATAATTTTTTTTCATTGATTTACAAAAGCTTGGGATGTCATAAATGATACAAAACATAATCATAAATAGGCCTTACAATATCTTATACTATCAGTCTACATCTCCTCGAATCTCTCATCATTGCCGTACCTTTGTACTGCTACCTGTGATACAAAGAAGTTGAGTGGTTCAGGTTGGGAAACCAGGTGAGTACATAGGATTTTCAACTCACATGAATGTAGTTAATATGCTTAATTATCAAGAAATTAACATGACTACTCATCCCTATTTTCTTCTTTATTCTTCCTTAAGGATCTATCCTAAGGGTCCTTCATCATAGTCATCGTTGCTGACAATATTGTTACATGGATTTCTCTGCAATACATGTCAGTTGGTAATAAAGAGTATATCAAATGGGTACAAAGTCCAACACATATAGGTTATAAACATGCCTGTGTTCCATGGGACCGTTATCAAATAGTCAGGTGGTCGTCACCTATACTATGTTAGATGACTACATCGTTAGTAAACTAATACCATTTGTAAAGTCGTGGCATCATATCGTTGCTACATCTTTCATCATACTATTGAATCTTACCTTTCATCATACTATGGCATCTTTCATTACCCTTCGTTACCCCCATGCATTATATTTATACATATATGGTATATATCATATAAAATCTATCTTTATAATATTTCATCTAACACATAACATCTTTGTACATAAGCACATATAGCATTCAATTATCTAAATACTTCATATCTATGTGTAAGATGAAAATAACTATGCACTCACTTGATAAACGTGGATGCCTCAGAATTTAGGCAGAACTTCTCCTTGGTACTTTAGCTTTTCCTCTGACGCGACCTAGATTCATATTACCAAGTCTTAGTCTTACATTACTGGAGAATAATGATAGTCTAGATTTCTCACTAATCCTAATGTCTACATCAATATCTATCAAG